TATATATATATATATATATATATATATATATGAGCCTCTTATTTGCTATTTATTATTGTTATATTGATGAATTAATTTGCAATCGTAACAAATTGATCGATTTTTTAACAAATATCACATTTGCTTTCCCTTGATTTGTTCCTATAACAAAATCACTTTTCTCAGTGTGTCGTATTGGCAGAATCTAAAAAATGTATACGCTGATGTGTATTCATCTAATGATGTACTTTGATAAATTTTCGTTATTTTAATATATTGGAATGGAATGGAAGAGGTTGAAATGGATTAATCTCTGGTATAAAAATATGTTTCTTTATTTTTATCTTATTTCTGTTATGTGTATTGGTATTTGAATCTGTATTTGTTTTATTAATTCGACAAAAAATATATTTTCAAGTTTATAAACACATTTATACTCATAGACAAACGTCCGCATAATTACATTCTCGGAGACAACTAGATACTATGAAACATCATTATTACGTGATTCTCAGAGTAGATAAGCATATTGAGATAAGGAAAGATACGTTCCCTGTATATGAATATCTCTAATTGCGATATGCGACATATTACAATGATAACATATCGCAACGTTATTAAGAGCAGATTAATCTCATTAATACGAAACACAAAATAATATACAGTAAGGAAATATGATCTGTTTTTATGAAATAATAATTTTTTATTATTATTAGGATAACCTACCAGAATTAATATTGTGAATTGTAGAAGTCTAGAAACTTAACTCTGCTATACATATTGGGTTTATTTGACTCAAAATATAATTTATATTTTTTACTAAATTGTACTAAAAAAATTTCTTTCTAATATTTAATGATTTCATTTGTTGATGTAATTTGTTGATCTTTTTTCTGTGAACTTTTTTTATTTTTATAGAACTTTTAATATTGATTTAAATATGATCGTAAATTTGAACAAATTAACAGGGTTAAAAAAATATAGTTTATTATTGAGACATCTATGATATTTTGATGAGCGATAAAGCTTTACAGCATAAATAACGATCAGTACAATCCATGACTCGCCCTTCTGATTGAACACAAAGAAGATAGACCAAAGGGACTAACTCTCAACCTCTCCATAACCCGCCCTTACCGTCCTTTTAGGCAAGTCCTTCGTGCCGGGAATCGCCTAACGAGTCGGAAAAATCAAGTCGCCTTCACCGAGACCAATCGCTTTTACGTTGTCATAAAATCTAATTAACCGTAAAAATAACGAGATTTTTTGCGATATCGTCACAAACTGCCATTAGAGATCAATTTATAAAATTTGGCAATGCAAAATGGAACGGCAATGTAAAAACAAAAGTGGAATCCTATGCTTGAAGTACGAACGAAAATAAGATTACGTTGATTCCTTGGTAAATGATTAATTTGGATCTTCCATTTATACGTTTCTTTGCTAGTCTTTAAGTATTTTTGTATTTTTATAATTAAGTTGCGATTAAATGAAATAAAACAGTATCTCGTTGTTAAAGCGAGACTTTCTGAGACTTAATTAGAAAGTGAGATCCTGCTACTTTTGCAACAAAATCTTGCTTTCTAATTAAGAGCAAGTAAATGTAAATTTTTCCGACTTCCTTTACCCAAACTTTTCTAACTCTTTCGACGTTAAATAGCAATTAAACCCTTCGCTGTATTTTCCCTGTAGGATAATCGGTATATTTTTTTTCTTTCTTTTTTTTTGCAAGCATCGTATTTCACGTGCTTTCAATTAACCTGAGGCACATATTGTAATATAAAATATAAAAAGAGTAGACTCTTGATCGTTAATTTACTGAATTTTAAAGGCTTAGTATCGAGATAAAACGATAATGCAGCTTATCGGACTAGGGGAAAGTGGCATCCTTTACTCGAGGGCGCGTCGCGTCGTCAGATTTGTCTCGTTAGAGTTCGCATTGTGTCTGCCTATGGTCGATTTACGCTCTCTCGTTATAACCATTCGCTCTGTCTTCCGTTACTTTCTTGAACCTTCTAAAGACTCCGAGCCTTCTTTTTCTCTTTTCTTACGATCTAACGAGCTTCCATTAAGCTCACAATGCGTATTCTTGTTTGCGTGTGATTGGCGATATTTATTGTGGCTCATGTATTATACGCATATAAAGAGAAAAATTTATTTGAGAAAAGAAAAAAAATTGAAGAATAATAAATATATGTGCATGTGAAAGAACTTTTAATCGATACAGAGATATAAGATAAGATTTATGTGATATTTTAATGAAAATATTCAGAAATATACTAGAATTCCTTGAATAAAAATGTATAAGAAATAACAGTACGTTTTGGCATTACTTTTGGAGCAAACTGTAGCTGCTTTAAATTAATTACAACTTCAGAAAAAAACGATTAACCTGAGTCTTATAAATTTGGAACCATTATATAACATTTCAACCATCTTAGGATACATAAGAGATATAATATGATTATGTGAACTCCCTGAATAGACTCGGACATCCGTGGCTCTTTTCAGAACTTTTTTCCCTCCTTGGTTTAAAATATACCGTACTTCCTCACTAACAAGAAAGTATCATTAGCAGGGATCGATAACCTTCGTCGAGCTTCTTGTCCCAACTTCTAAAGTTACGGCATTTAAAATTCCGTTTAAGACTCAACTTCAAAGTTTCTTCTTAGGCCGTAGAAATTACGAGCATATCAGTACTTTACTTTCGGTAGATAGGATCATTAATTTACAGCAACTCTTTTTATCTACGATATCTTTTGCGTTTATTAGTATTTATATCTTTTAGCATATCTTTATCGTTTATGCACATATAACTCGTATATATATATATATATATATATATATATATATATATATATATATATATATATATATAATGTTATGTATATATACTCGTAATGTTAATAATAATAATAATATTAGTAACAATAATAATATTGTTTTGTAATATGTGTTTGTAATTTTATCACATTTATATAAAATTTCAGTGGTCTGTATATCAAATATTGTGACAAAAAGTATCGCTTGAAGTACACGATAAATGTTCACGCGTTTTTATATGTTTTATCATGCTGCCATTTTTCATTTCTTGCACATGTCGTGCATTAAATTAACTCTTTTATCGTAAATATAAAACATAATCGTAAATCGCGAATTATACGACAACGTTATATTAATGTTTTAAATGAAGCAAGCGTAATATTTCATGTCATTAATAATACTACAAAATTTATTGCAGTATTCTTACTTTGTCATATCACAAATTCTCTCTATCCACAATATAAATATTATATCATCTCGCGTATATTATGCTATTAAAACAATTATTATTTATTATACAGAAATCAAGTTTAAATTTAAGAACTCTTATTATGTATAAATTATTCTCTTATGTATAAATTATTCTCTATATACAATCTCTCAAAGCATTAAAGTATTAAAAATTAAAAAAATAATTTTAATTGTATTAATTTTAGAAGAATAATTAATTATTCTTTGATAATTCTACTTTGAATTTGCTCATTTTAATCTTACAAATTATTATAATATATTTTCTGGAATTCTATATTTTGACTGATATTGTTTTTAAAGTAAAAATGTCATATTTTGTTATATATTTTGTGTATATAAAAAATTTTCGAATTCAATGATATTACTCTTCAATGATATTACTCTTCATAAAATAGGATCAATATAGAAACAATAATATTTATTGTTATCACAGAAATATTTTACTCTTAAATAAATATTTTTTAATCTAGAATAAAATTATCTTGATATATCGGTTTTGTGTCAAATACTATGGTTTCAGAATGTACGTTATGACATTAGGTAAAGATTTCTTCTAAACGTAAGAATATATAAATTTACATTTATATGTTAGTCTTGTCTTAGGACAATAAGTCAATCTTGTTTATAAAAATTAAAATGTCAATTAAAGATTCCCGATAGATTGAAATAATAAATTGATTATAAACAAAAAAGGCATTGGAAGCTAACGCGGAAAATAATGCATCAATTATTATCACAAGTCTTCAACTATACAATGTTTGCATATATTATGATGTTTGACTGTGATTAACGTGTCATTAAAGATTCGTAATAATAATTTTGCATATTGTTTTTTGCACTAATTCTCAACGCCTTTTTTTGTTTATATTTAATTTATTATTTCAAGATTATTTAATTTGAGGAAGAAAAGTAGCAATTATTGATCTATCTTAATATTGTCTAATTTTAATATTGTCTATTTTTATACTACCAAATTGCGATAAAATTAAGTATATCACGAATATATTTTTTATTTAGTTATTAAAATTTTTTTCTGAGAGTAAGATTTGCATTTGCTTTTTGTCACAGCGAGCTCTCCGGAACCACGTACCTGTCCGTACTTGGGCAAGTTCACAGTGACGGATGTGAATCGGAATCAACGGAACACGCGCGAAAGCCGCAGGAGCCAGCATCAGCAGGAATCTCTGCTCATTCGACACGACGGCGAAAAGGTGCGGCATGCTCAAGAGAGAAATGAAGACCGGCGAAGTCGTAAGCTGGATTATGAAGTCGAGAAGAGGCGGGCCAACAATGAGTATCTCGTCCACGAGAGGATGGGTCGGCGAGCACGTTCGAATCGCGGCAATCGAAGTCGCAAGGACTACAGCCTGGAAGAAATGTCCTCATCGAGGAAAACTTCGGAGCTAGAAGAGACTTTCCGGGATCTACGAGAACGCGCCTTGCGATCGAAGGTTAGACGATCGGGCGATTTGGAGCAACGCGTCGCCGAGAGCTCACATTCTAAGACGAGGAGATCGCGCGCTGTCGAATATCTCGAGAAAGATACGAGATACGCGATGGATCGCGGAAGAGTTGACAAAAACGAGGGTGAGACGATTGAAGACGAGGTGAATTCGAAAGATAAGACGAACAGATCGAGAAGATACCCAAAGATAGAAGACTTTCATCTGTATGACGTTGATACAATCAGACGGTTTTGGGCCGCCGATTCGGACGACAGCTGGACCTCCAGTACATTGCAAGTGCAAGACGATTATTTCGGGGATTATTTAGACGCCGATAGTCCGCCGCGAAAGAGATCCGCGTCGGGGAATCCAGTCGACAAGGGTATGACCTATAAGGATCTTCTGAGAATGAAGAGGGAACTCGAGGAACGCGAGAGAGATGAGGATATTCCTGAGAGGAGGGAGAAGAGAAACGAGGATGATTCAAGGTGCAGTTCTGAGGTGACGACCTTAACCGTGGGTTGCTCCACGGCGGACAGGATGGAGTTTCAAAGTGACTGCGTCGACGATGACGCTATCACTGGTAATTATCTACTTTTTCTTTTTCTTTCATATCGAGAATCTTAGCCGCGCTGACCCCTTGAATATGATCACAATACCGCGAGCGACGAAGGAGGATTGAGTATAGAATTCTACGCGGGTCAGAAAGTATCTTCTTAATGTTAGAAGGATTGACGATTATAGTCTATCTATATAGTATATCTAGAGATACATAAATTTATTCTAGCAAGAATTCTCTTTGTGAAGGAAAAGATTTTATCACTACAACTTAATTCCTATAATTTTTATTAATTGTGCATTTTTATGCACAAGAAAATTGCGTATTTTATAGAAAAGAAAAACATTGATTCGATCAAAGAATTCATAAGTGACTCAATAGATCTCATACTAATTATTTGAAAACTTAAGTTCCAGTGAAATGAGTTAGTTTTCATATATAACGTAGCTTATAAATATATTATCAAAAAGATGTCGCGGACATAAGGTTTAATAATTGATAGTTTTTGAATTATTATTCAAAATAAAATTGTATCAAAGTAAAATTCACAGAGCATCTTTGATATTAAAAAACTGTTCATTATTGAACCTTGTATGAACATCTTTTGTTCACTAGTCATCACAAGTTACATGAAAACTAACTTATTTCACCAGAATCCAAGTTTCCATGTATTGCAGAATCCTTTGAAGTAATCTATCTAAAAGATATGACAGATATTTTTCAAAGAAAAAAATATATTTATAATGAAATTTCTTTATAATCTTATTAATATCAGTTCAAGAAAGAGAAATTTTAAGAAAAGATTTTAGGAAATGTCTTAAGAAATAAAAAAAATAAGAACCCCATTTCATCAATATCAGGAAATTTACATTGAGAACTTGATGAATTACAGTGTTAGTATAAAGTTCGTATACAATAGAGCTCACCGATGACATAATGCTTATCGCGTTTACAAAAGATTATATTATCCAGAGATAGTATAACAAATTCGAGCCTTTCAGTATTAAAGCGATGATATTAACGGCGCGTTTCTTATCGAGTCCGAAACTTGCGCCCCGTTTATCAATCTTGGTAATGTCGTAACTTCATTACGACGGTCGAAGTGATACTCAAGCGCGCTCCCCTGCCGCGATTCCGCATCAAGATCGAAATGCCTGAATGTTTGAAAGAACCGTGAGGCACATCCGCTCTTCACCTTCTTCTCTTTTCGCTGTGTAGACTGGCGCTTCTTCCCATGGATATTCTCTCGACCCTCGACACCGAAGTTTATTTCGGGGGGAATAATGGCACTCGAAGGGTAACGGTCGTCGAGACGCCAACCCCCTTCACCCGACCGTTATTATCCCGAAACTTTCTCCAACCCTCTCATGTTTCGCCAAGACCTCTGGCAGCTCCGTGCTTTCTCTTTACCTTCCAGCCTACTCCTGCCATGGTAGATGGTTCGACGCCGAGGGCACGCAGTTCGTGATCGCCACCCCGTTGGCGCGCAGAACAACGTGGTCGAACAGCGAGAACAACAGGGCGCAGCCCTACAGAAACAGCCGTAGACTGTGCTTCATGTACAAAGAGAGCGGCGGAGTTGTCAGTTTAACTGCCAGCACCATAGCGTGTCAGAGGGGCATCCCACCGCCCACGCCGATGTTGGCCTTCAACGCTACCAGCACCGGTAAGTGGCAACCTCCGTCAACCCTTTCGCTTTCCGTTGCTGCGCCATTTCATCCTCGGATTAGCATTAATTTGAGAATTAGATACTAGAACACGCAACATAGTTTGATATATTACGTTAGAAACATACATGAAATAATTTTAAATTCGTTAATATTTCATCAAATATTGTTTAGCGGAAATATTATAAAAATATTATCAAAATTTAATTATTATATATTTAATTTAATTATTTAAAAATACTTTATCAAATAA